ATATAAGCACATTATGTGACTATGTATCCCTAAATAAACCCCTGTGACTGTGGATATAGAGCTACGACCGAGGCCAGCTATACAAACGTAAAGGAACATGCAGCAGAACATTAGGAGGACTGGCTACATTTGCGAGAAATACCAAGGACATACCTAGTGCAATGGAAGAAGTTTGTATAGACTCTATATATGAAATATATAACCATGAACGATCCCCACAACACAACTGGCCCCGGTCCCGGCTGCTTCCGGTCGCCCTGTGCCGAGCCGATTGGCAATGGTGAAACACTCATTCCAAGCTGCCGCATCCGCCACACGTTGTGTGTACATGCTGAATGCACATGCACTTGCACATGAACATATACATGTACGTGTGCAAGGATGCATACATGCGTGTGCATATGTAACTATATATCAATGTGGGTATATGCATGCATGTATCCATACATGCATGTATGTGTGGCTGCTCATGGAGGCATGCCTCATGGGTTTAGGGTTTAGGGTTTATATATAGGGTTTGCACATGTAAACAAATTCGCATGTGACTGATCATATATGTATGTATGCATGCTTGTGTGCATATGTGTGGCATGACATGCATGTATGTTTGTGCATGCACAAATGCTAAAAGTCACGCGCATGCAGCCGCCGCCGGCCTTCACTAAAAGGAGAGACATCTTGGCGATGGGATCACATTTTGCCAAACCTGATCGGCTATATGGGCTGATTCCGCAAAGATGCAAACCCTATATCAACCCCGAACCCTTTAATCCAAAACCCCGATGCCCCCGATATGGTTGAAACCCATCGCCTCAGCTAGGAAGGCACGAATTGAAGACCAGTCCCAGCACACAATCTAGCCCCTGGGCTAAGTTAATGGGACCACAATGTAGATAACCCATAGCTCCAAAGCGCTGGTCGTGAAACTGCGCCTTGATGCCGCATGCCCTAAAAGCACGCACAAGCTCGTATGCAGAAGCAGAATTACATATTATATTTATATATCCACTATATATGCACGCTTATGTAGCCGTATATGTTTGTCCCGGTTCACCAGCTTCCATGCATGCATGCGAATCCATGCCGGCACTTTCCGCTGGCGGAGACATCTTGGCGATCCGAAACGTGCCACCGTGGTAGCAGTCTATATAGTTGTATCGTGTAGATAATGGTCGTACAGTAGTATAGTAGGGTAGTATATAGTGTAGTTGTATAGCTGTATAGTATATAGTATAGTAGTACATAGTCTAGCATATAGTATAGAGATAGAGTATACAGTTGAGTATGATAGTAATCTAGTAGTATAGTACTATATAGCATATTCAAACATATGATAGTACAACAACATATAGTGTTGAAAGCTATATAGCCCTGGAGTGGTACGGTATATAGTCGTCCGGTATTACAAATAGTAGTAATATAGTGTAGTACATTTATATGGTAAATAGTCTAGATGTCCTATACCAGGCTACTATACCCATATGAATGTTTGCCCGCTTCGGATTGCCTCAGGTGAACGGAAAGCACCAATTTGCGAAGCTTTCCAGTCCAGGGAATGGCCCAAATGGCGGAAGTCATCTAGCCCCCAACCCTATGTCGGATTTTCTACACTGAACTTGGAACCTGGATTTAGGCTGTCTTAAATACAACACACAACATCCCATGAGCTACCCCACATGGCTTTTGTGGATGACTTCCGCCATTTGCGCCATTCCCTTGACCGCACTCTCCAGAACTGAGCGGCGTTCTCGCGATTGCCGTTTGGCTTGTTCCTTTCGGCCGCCGCGGGTCCGCGGCTTCTCCCTGCCCATGCCTGGCCTCGGTGGGTTTACATGGGGGTTGTATACGTAGTATAACATTGAACAGTTTTACACCTATCAACACATATGCTATTTCTAGAACTCACCTTGAGAATATATGTAGGCAAATACACATTCGGCACACGAGTACATAGTGTATAGTATATCCAGAAGCTATATACTATGCACGTATATAGACGTACATATATATGTCACGCCCCTGCCCATGCAGGCCTCGGATGAGAAAGTTACACAGTTTGTTGTTTGTGGTTTAGGATTCATGGGTTTACATGGGGATTGTATGACTAAGGATCTTATGGGTTGACGTGGGATTGCAAAACTCACGAAGAAACTTTGAACAGTCCTATATATCTCATCAACATGCAACTATATAGAGTAGCTAAACAAATTCTATACAATGTAGTTTATACAGTTGGTACTGAAAAAAAACCTGGCCCATGCATAGAATCTGATTTCCAGAAACTGCACACCGTCACACCGTCAGCCCCAGAATTTCATACCAAGTATACATTTACTCATTATGTATATATATATATATATATATACATATATATATATATATATATGAAAAATATGTCTAGATGTACAGGTATATATGTACATATGTATATGTATACATACATACATATATACATATATGTATGCAACTATGTTTGCAAGTATTGATACGAACCTCCTTGGAAACAAGATATAACCTATATAGGAGAAGGACAGACACACCCCATGATGCAGTGTATATATTACATACGTATATGCAAGTGTAAGAATACATATGGACAGATAATATGTATAGCTATATAGTCATCAAATGTACGCAATTGCCGCGAAGAAACTCATGATAAAAGCCGTCGCCATCGACAAAGCCGCCGCCGTTGGGTAGGTAGTACCCGGCACGGCGCGATGACGACGACGAACTCGGTGCCCTGGGCTGTATTGTTTGATTATGTTGAGTCTATAAAGTTGTTCTTAGATACAAACATGTAAATGCAACCATGTGTATGTATACATATATACACTGCAAAAGATTCGTTGTTCCAGCTACATATATAGAAGCTTCACCCTTCTAGGCTGATTCATTGTATGTTAAGGACATGAACCATATAACTCGAGCAATGCATTCTGCAGCAAGATAAAAACAGACGCATAAAGACTTTATAGAGACACATACATTATACATATATGTAAAACACACATGTACGAGTGTATGTGTCTGTGTCCATGCTGCAAGTGCCCGCCGAGACGCCTCGTGGACGCATCATCCTCCATCTTTGCCTTCTTCCACGGCTGCCCTGGATGTTTCCAGCCTACAGCCCTCTTCGTGCGCCACCCCTGCCACGGCTCATCCTCCTTGCACAACCAGACACCCTGCCAGTTGCCCTGCCACTCCTCCTTGACCTCCTTCTTGGCGTACCACTCGTCGTCCTCCTTCTTGGACGCCCAGTCATCCCACTCCTCCTTGGTGTCCTCCTTCTTGGTCGCCCACTCATCCCACTCCTCCTTGATGTCCTCCTCCTTTTTGGCCGCCCACTCATCCTTAACGTGGTCCTCCTGCTTGGCATCGCCGTCCTTGTCCTGCCACCATGAGTCGCCGTTCTGCTCCTGACAACATGCACGCAAATGCTTATACAAACTCGGGGTTTTGGGGTTTAAAAGTTTAGGGAAGGCTTTGGGGTTTAGGGTTTAAGGGTTTAGGGTAAAAGGGGTTGAGTGGTTTAGGGTCTATATAAGGGTTGTCCATATCCACGTGTAAGGATGTCGGGTCTGTCTGCATGCGACGGCACGCCACTGAAGTAACAAACATGTGTATCTATATAAAGAGACATATATATATATATACATAAGTAGAAAATAAAAAACATCAACCCTATATAGTATATATATATATAGTATATGCGCCCCCAAACCCCTCAAGTATACACACATATATGTTAGCCCAGGGTCTTTATGTACGGCTTCTGGTGTGTATATGGCTTGAATTATATTCTGGAGTATGTATACGGGATCATATAATGGGGGTTGAAAGCTAAGGCAAACCCGATAAGTGTTGCCCTGTCTGCTTAGATATAAAGACGCTTTTAGGAATCCAGTGCCTCGTCCCAGCATTCGACTTGGACCTCCACCAGGCCATAGCCGGGGTCCTCCCCCGGTTCCTCCTTCAAAGCCATGGCGGAAGCCTTAAAACTGTCGCGTGTTTGCTTTGCAGCTGTTGCATGCGGCTATGGTGGTGGTGGTGGTGGTGGTGGTGCTGCTGCTGCTGCTGCTGCCTGCACAGCAGCTCTATGAAATGCAGTGACCGTCAAAGCCTACAAACTGTGTCGTTTCTGTCCAGTCACTACAAGCTCTGCCACAGCATGCTGCATGCCGAACATGCCTTGCATCGAAGCGGCGCGGGAAATTCCAGCATGCAACCAGCACCATGGAAGCACAAGCAGCATGCAGAGACATGGGATCCGGAAATTGAACAAAAGCTTGTCAACATCCTGCAAACCCCGGCATTTCACGAATGTGCACAGGAAAACCTTGCGAAACATGTATGCAAATCTGTACAGACACATTTATATATATATATATATATACATACATATATATATATATACACACACATAAAGATAGATAGATAGTTAGTTATACATGCAGAATACCCGGAACAAGCCGGCTTATATGTCTAGGTAAAAAACGAAATACCTCTCTCTATATATATATATATATATATATACGTACCCCACTCCCAACCCTAAACCCCCACTCCCCCAACCCTAAAACCCCACTCCCCCAACCCTAAAACCCCACTCCCCCAACCCTAAAACCACCCCCCATGCCAAAGGTATATAAGCAAGCGCACACACATGGCACTTTGCCAAACCGCTTCAATCCTCTCCGTCCTGTCCTAAAAAATCGCGGGCGAGACTACGTCCCTGCCCGACGTCATGGCGAGCCCACATGCCCTGCCAGACGAATCTTGTACAAAGTCCCTGCATGCTCCACAACGGGACTGTCGTGACTTGAAACTCATCAGCCTACGATGTTTTGGATGGCTTCTTCTGCTGATACATCGGCTGCTGCGTCAGCCTCACGAGCTGCATCTCCGTCTTCAAGGGCTTCGGCTTCGGGATCCTGGCTTATAAAGAACAATTGAATGTAGGATGTTTATGAACTACATCTACAAGACCAAATCCAGTATCAGGAGTGGCGGGGGAGGTGTAAAGTGATATCCTCCTGGCTTGCGGCAGCCTTGCGTTTGCGAGAGCGTCGACTCTTCTTCTTGGGCGACTTCTTCGCTTTCTTCACCATTTGTTTTTCCGCCTCCCCTCGAAGCTTCAATCGGCGGCGGCTCGGAGCACCTTCATCAGCTAGATAATCCACCAGCCCTCGCCGCATGAACAGTGCCAAGTACTGCAAGTTCTCTTCCAAAAGCTCGATCCATATCACCTTATACAGATATTTGCCCTCAGAACGACAATCATGAGACTAACACCAGTATACAGAATCGTCCCCTGCAGGCTTTGATATTAGAACCATACAAACCTCCAACATTGTTTCTCTTAGCACTAAAGACACGGGGTCTCTGACGGACCAGACTGCGGCAATCTCTCTCGCTTCCATGGACTCGCCGTTGCAAGCGATCGCTGGGCATCGCATGCGCACCACCCGCCCTGCCACGTAGAGGTCCTCTTCTCGCGCCGTCTTCTCCTCTGGCGCTGCATCCCCGGCCACCAAAGCTGCCTCTTTGATCATGGCATTGTACAGGCGGTCGCAAGCCTGCCGGCGAAACTCGAGAAAGTCCCCAAAGGCTGGGATGCTCAGGTGGTGTGGATCCTGGCTTCCCCAAAAACGTGACGCACAGATGTAGTACCAAAACAAACGTTTATAGCTGTGTCTTTTCAACAGGTTACCTGTATTTCTTTTGGTGCGCCCATGCAGAGGAATTGATCATCCAACAAGTATAAGCATCTCTATAGAGAATGTGGGTTGGACACACCCGACTATGCAGATATACATGTTAACATTGTTTCATATACAAACATACATTCTTGTGCGGTTCCCTATGATGCAAGATGTCTTTTGACTTGCAATTGCTGCAAGTTTTGTGTATGCAAACGTGAGTATATATTCACAAAGTTTTCTGCTTGTATCTAAAAACTTTGACAAGTGGACGGGTCCTTCTCCTTCCGCAACTGAACTGCTTTCCCTGTCACGAACGGCACGAATTTGGGATCCCACTTGTCTATCTGAGCGAACAGCATGTTGTCCACTTCCTTGGTCTTCACGAGCCATTTGCTTCCGTCCTTGAGCATGCCACCTGAGATAGCCCAGACTTTCTCCATCTGCACGGGCTTCGGCATTCCTCCTATATGATCGACTGTGCGCCGTCTTTCTTTGACGCTGAGCCTTCCAAACCCTGGCACATGCATACTCCAACGATAAAGGCTCAGGCGCACCATGTGCTTTGCAACGGCTGCAACATGTGCACGTGCAAGCGTTTTTTTCCGAAATCGAGGACGAAGCTATGGGAGCTGCACTTTCTGCGAGAAGAGTGTCGCAGGCGGGACTAGTACACATCCCTGCCCACGGCCAGGCGAGCCCACATGCCCTGCCTGACTTGAAAATCCTGCGTCTCTGTGCGACGCAATGAATGACTCGCCTTCTTTCAATCTCTGCGTGCCTATGTATATATGATAGGAATATATATATATATATATATGTATGTTTCACACATGTATAATAGGTAAATGTATATACATACATCTTCAGAGGCCGAGGCCCTGCCGGCATGAGACCAAAATTTCCACAGACATGATATCATTAAGAACTTTCATCTGACCCGACACATGTGCACACTTACGCAGCTTTTGGCAGACCGATCATGCGAAGTGCGAGCTGCTTTCAAATGTCGCGAGCGAGAATACATCCCTGCCCGCTGTCAGGCGAGGCCACATGCTCTGCCCGACTGGAAAATACTGATGCTTCTCTGTGCGATGCCTTTTCTGACTATATGTATATATATACACTATATATTTAGACGTTACATATACATCTTTATAAGGCCGTGCACAGGGATCAGTGCGGATTTGAACATGTGAACTCAAGCTGTCCGGGTTTTCTTGGCCGCAGGCAACAAAGGTTCGGGTCTCGGAGTTGTGGAAGGCTTCCACAGCACCAAGCTGTCTCCCTCGTTGATCACTTTAGTGCTCTTGGCCATTGGGATGTTCCACACGGCATCGCTGTCCATTTTGAACTTTTTGCTCGTGTGGTTCCGAGGAAACAATTCAAGATTGCACTCTGCTGAAACCGTCGACGTCCTCATGCACCAGAACGGGTGAAGTACTGGCTTCGATGCCTGCAAAATCTGCAAGCAGCTGCTGAGCGCAATTTCGTACGTCTCCCCCTCGATGTCGACGAGACCTGCCACGACGGCGCCGCTGCTTGCAGAGCCGGGTCGTTTCAAGTCGATCTTGTGGGTGCTGGGGATCAGCACCAGCTCACCCTTTTCGAACCTCTTTGTTGCCTGCACATTCTTGCTAGGCTTGAGGTAAAGCTCGAGGTTGCCATAGTGGGCGGCCCCCGTGGCCTCCTGTGCGGTCATTCGATCCAGGATGCGGGCCTTGCACTGTGCGATTTGAAAGTCCACAGAATTCACTGGTAGCGAGCCAACGAACTCCACGGCAACCGATTCCCCTTTCAAGTTGACTTGCCGCCACTCCCCTTTCAAAAAGCTCTCGGCCGACACCTTCACATCATGCCCTTCCACGTCAAGTGTCACTTCGGAGGCAGTCATCCCTTTAATGTTGCCGGTGGAACTATCACTTTTCCTGAGCACATGCATCCCAACTTCGTAGCCGGCAGAAATCAGCCGGCTGGCGTCTTTGTGTTGGCCTTGATCGTCGAGCTCATGCCTCAACAGTGTATATACGTCTACATATAAGCATGTAGACATATATAACCATATATACCTACATAAACATATATATATATACATGTATTCAAACACACATACAAAATATGTGTACTCATATATATATATATATATATATATATAAAGCTTATAATTCCCTTGATTTACACATAGATGTAGCATAGCTAAAAAACCGTAATGTGACTAAGACATGCATGTAAGCTGCAGCATGCTTGCATCCTCTTTGGCCGGCTTGTTCGGTGACTTCAAAGTAGAAGCCCCTGAGGAAGTGCTTGCGAACGGGTTCGGGATGCGGAGTTGGGCTGCCTGGTTGATTTCCTCGACACATTGCTGCGCTGCCTTCTGGATGTTCTCATGTTTTTTGTATTTTTTCTTGTCGAGCAAAACTGCGATGAGATTCATCTGGAGGTAGCCTAGCGCCTTGAGGGAGACAGCCACATTGACCGCATGTGTACTGCAAAGCGCCTTGCAGTCTTCAAACACTCGGGTGGCTTCGTCACGCTTGCTAGCTATGCCCACTGACAACAGCTTCTTCACATCACTCACGGTCAGGGCCCGTGCATCCTCGGCACCATAAGCAAAATGTAACATCATATGCCTGATCAATGCTCCGGGATCTCGGGACTTCATCTCCGTGTTGAGTGCCTCGAAGATGTCCGAACCCAGCATGCGGCTTTGGAAGCCGTGGGCTCGAACAAACTTTTCGGTTTCCTGCAATAGGTGTGCAGTCTGTCCTCCGGAATAGCGGAGGGTAAAAACGAAAAGGGCGGGCACGGTTGAGGCACTTCGGGGCTTCGTGCGTAGCACGGCGTCCTTTATGTCAACGTAGTTGACATTGGTTTTCCCACGGCTCATCTGCAGTGCGACTTCTTGGTGAATCTGGCGGCAAAGCTGTAATTCCGATTCTTGTCTTGCCACATGCCCGGTGGCATTGGCAGCAGCCTGTGCAAGCTGGCAAAAGTTTGGGAACCGCTCCGGCACTTGGTGGGAGACAATCCTCCACGTAGCACCTTCGACGCAGGCTCGATGGAAGTCGGGATCGGCCGTCTGCAGCGAGCTCAGGCTCAGCCGCCCGTTCTCGGCGACTTGCGCACATTGACTTGGTGTCTTCGCCAGGAAGCATCTGAGAACTTGATTTGTGTGGGACCCTGCCACGGTTGCGAACTTCAGTTGGAGCTCCGATGTCCAGGGGGGGACTTGCCCTTCGGAGTTGTGGGCCAACTCTTGATTCCAGGCAAACACCCGGGACCTTTCCTTCTCCGAAACTTCAACGCATAAGCCGCGAAATTCGGCAGGGCTCCACCCCAGATGCACCAGGTCCGCCAGCAGCTCATGCACGTGCTTTGCGGAGACGCCGCAGCCGTCCCTATTGCTTGGATGCACGCCTATGAAGCTGGACACCACTTTCTGCTGGTAGAGCAACCCGTGTTCTGCTAAGAGCCCGTACACCTGCTCCATCGACCGAACAAGCGAGCCGCCGCTGGCTGCTACCAGCAACTTCTCCACTTTGGTCGCCAACTCCGTTGTCAACGCCATCTGGAAGGATCTATCACACAGGTGAGTTGTCCAAGGCTTGGAAGGCAATCTTCGCGAGTACATGCATGCACATGCACCCTGCGAGGCATCGCTGCGAGACGTGGCTCTGCAGCGATCAATGCGTGTCATGAGCACCAAGATTGCAAGCATTGCAAAGATGCAAAATCAAGCATTTTCGCAAGTGAGATCGAGCTTCTGATCACAAAATGGGTTTCTTTAAAAACGCGTCGACATCAACCATATACAACTCGGTATAACAATGCAACTATATACAAGAACATGGATGTATACAGGATGTCTGGAAACACGTATTTAATCATGATCCTTATATTGCGCCGGCGCTATAAGCAAGACTGAAACCTGCAGCTTCAAGAACTGCATGGCAAAAAGAACTTGCGAAGGGAAACTTTGGAAAACCTGGTCTTCTTAACCAGTCGCATGCGCGGCTTGAGGCCGGCAAGGACTCGTGGGCCCCAGAGGAACCCTATCTCGCAGCTCATGAGCTCCCCGGTTACTGAGCTGACCAGGCGTACGTGCTGCTGAGGACTGATGAGTTTCTCATCGACGCAGCGCCGCTTGATCCTCATTCCCAAGACGTTCATGGACAAGTTCTCCTTGTCGCTCACAAAGAGATGAAAGAGAAGCCGCGCCGAGACGCAGGAACGACAGTCGAACCTGCAGATGACTTCAGCTGCATATGTGTATATTTCTGCGTTTATAAATCTGGTGCTTCTTGGTTGTGTGTGTGTGTTTTGGTGTGTATATATGTATACAAAAACACACGAAAAATTAGCTCATCTGAGTCACTTCAAGTATTGCTCCGTCGTCATGTGGTCGGCGTGCACGCTCAGTACAAGGTCCGGGCCGATTGGCCGGACCAAAGCTCGCACATAAGACCAAGACTCAACGTTCCACATCCCCTCGGACTGGAAAAGCTTGATCCCGGAATCATACTCTGCAACCTTCTGAAATGTTCGATTGTCCGGCAGAAGGGTCAATGAAGTGCTCTCTTCATGAATGTCTTTCTGCTGGGCTGTGGTAAGTGGACACCATCGGGGGTTCGCGGGAAGGCCCTTGCCGTCGTTCCACTTCCAAAACCGATCCACAAAAGCCACCTCCAATGCGGGAAGCATGTCTGCCATCTTGCAAGGTTCTGTGCTACAGAAACTGCTGCGAACCGGAGTCCTGCAGCAAACAACAGCGAACATGCATCTGTCCTGCTGCTGAAATGCATGAATGCCATAAACATCTTGGCCTTTTTTTATACTCTGCGTGGATGCATGAAAACATATGCTCTGGACAGTTTGGCCAGCAGTCACATACGAAAAAGTGTTCCGTCAGGCGTTTCCGCTCAAACCATATATAAGCGGATGTGGCTGTCGTGACACGCAGCCTTTACGGTGCAGCGAACTTGCATGCGTCCTGCTGCAGCCCAGCGGCGAACATGTGTCTGGAAAGTTCTGCCGCCGACTCGAGGTCAAATGCCCAAGCATGCAATGGGCATGAAGACTGTTTCTATGTGTATGTACTGTCCTGCCATAGACCGCAGTTCCCCCTAAACCCAATGTTATATACCCGATAAGAACCCACCAACCAGTTTCAAGAACAGATGCTATGCCATTATGGACTCTTGAACTCCAAAACAACATGCCGAAGTAAGACACCCAACCCAAGAAACCCTTCTGAGTCGCATGTATACGAATTCAAACCTAAAATTAGAAACGCTATGCAAGCATATAATTTTTGTATGCATATATTATATGCTTGCATAGCGTTTCTAATTTTAGGAATGATTTCATATACAAAACCCGCAAACCTGACAAATCTATATACCCTTAAATTATGCCAAACAGCCCTCTACATATACGTCTAAATCAATGTAAACGCTCGGAGGGGCAATGTTAAACCAAAAGACGCATGATGCAAGTTTTTATCTTAAACGGAATATATACATATACATATAAATAAAGACAATGACATTGCGAAACTGTATATATACACGCAGTGCTATACTTGAAGACGTTTTAAAACTGTTACTCATGCTACGCCTCCTATATATCTAAAATTCTTATAACTCGAACTATAAAGCAACCCAACCCTGCTCCCTTGGTTGTGCCTTGGCCGGAGGTGTATATATATATATATATATATATGTATGTATATATATTTATATGTATATATATATAATCGAATCATATACATATACACCTCTATATATACTCCATATTATATGGAGTATATATAGAGGTGTATATGTATATGATTCATGGGAACCTCCTATATACAGCTATATCGCAATATAGTTATCTATAGATGACCAGGCATTTCGCTACCGCATGTAAGAGAGTCATAGTTTCTCCCGCGCTTGCTCGAATTTCTAAACTTTGACGTGCAGAGCACTGGGCAGAAACCCAGCTCTTTCCTATAACACCCTGAATCCTCACATAAAAAAAAACACACCGAAATTAAAATATACACAAATGACAAACCCCACATATATAGAACCTCGCCTAAATAAGAAGCGACCCTCGACCCCAACCCCAACGCCCCCCCTCCCCCCCGCCTTGAGCGGGGGCACGCAGATGCGGAAGCCGCGGCAACACATGGGATGGGGTTTAGGGTTTTGGGGTTTATAAATATATATATATATATATATATACAGATAATAATATGTTCGACGGGTTTACGGTCTTAAGATGGGGTTTATATGGGGTTTGGGTGTTTTTCATGTATGTGTGTATATATATATATACATTATATGCACAAAGGCGCATGAGTGCGTAATCGAGATGATGCTTTATGTTTTCCATGCGATAAAATATAGAACCCTCAATATATACGTCTCTCTCTATACACACATATACCTACATGCATGCATACTCACATACATGCCTGGATGTGTGTACATATGAAAAGCTGCATATCATTATAGCCGAAACGAACTTCAAGGTGTTCCTGGTTTGTTGTCATGTGTATGTATATATTGTGTCTATACATATCTTGCACATGCATGCCCAATGTATAGCTACACATACATGCGCAACTCAATGTGTAAATGTATATGTACATTTGCATGTGCATATACATCTACATTCAGATGTTACATGTTGCATCTTCTATATATTGTACATGTACATGTATTTGTCATATGTATATGAATATGTACATGTACTTGTATATGCATTTTTGTCGCCATGTATATGTCTTTTTATGTAGCACTCTGTGCACGCCATGAGCCTCACGAAAAATAAATAGATAACAAAATGGTTATGGTTTTTGAGTGAAATCTACAGTATTTTGATACGATTTCAATCATGGTTCCTGGGAGGCCCTAACCCACTTAGCCCACTTAGCTCTGGACCCAGTTACCCCACTTACAAAAGCGGCCGCCCTAACCCAGTTGGCGGACTTAGCCCTAAGTAGTTTGCCGACTTAGCATAAGTCCGTCGTATGTACTTATAAGTACTTGTAAGTCCACACACAAGTACATATATTTGTGCCGTTTCTACATGCTAAGTGCCACATTTGCATACGAGACTTGCTAAGTACATACCCTCGGCCGCAAGTACTTAATATGTCCGTCCGTGCAAGCTATCTCAAATGTGTCACATACATCGACACTTACTGGAGTTAATAACTGGAGTTATCGTGGTTATTAACTACTTTGCAAATAGACCAACTCCGCTATTTAAATATAACCACGCCGATCCTCCAAGTACAGCCCTGACCCGTAGAAACCTAAACCCTAACCCCCAACCCGAAAGCCTTACAAACCTAAACCCTCAACCCTTGCAAACCTTAATCGTAATCCCTTACAAACCTAGAACCTAAGCCCTCATTCGCCTAAATCCTAAACCAAGCCGAAACCCGGCACAATTACTGTCCGGTACCTGTGCCACTCAGCCCAGGAGTTGGCCAACGCAGGCATGGCCGGCGCGCTTAGTTGGGTGCGAATTTAATTGAGGGTTCATGGTTTCGAGTTGTCATTGGTATAAGGCGTCATGGGTTTGGGGTTTCGTGCCTCTCAGAGTGTGAATCAATCGGTGCCCTTCAGGCTTCTTGTGCAGGGCTTGACGGTGTACTAGTTAGAGTCTCGAGTCTAGAGCCCATACTCCAATTGCTCATGAACCCTGCATAGATGATCCCGTACCTGCTCCCCGGACTTATGCTTGCGGCCTGGCCAAGGCCTCCCCGCCCACCAGGCAGCCTTTCTTTGAGGTTCGGGGTTCGCAGGTTTCGAGGCTAAGCCGTAGGCCAGAAAGCATGTATGAGTCGATGCCGACGCAGGCGCGACCATCATTGTGGGGACTTGGCCGCCCGTGCTGAAGATGCCTCTCGCCATAGAAGGGTTGAGGCTTGAGGTCGGGGCTCTGGCTTCCGTCTTATCTCGGCCCGAACCACCCAACTCGGAAAGCTTGAGCATGGACACCAATCAAGGATGACTGCGGGGGGTCTTGTCAGAGTCCCTGAAGCTCGAGTCTCCAGTCTCGTCTAGGCATGAGACGACCCGCAAGTTCAATTCCTAAGGCCTGCAAGCAGTCTTTCTTTTCGTTACAGACCCCACACTCCCAACATCCGCGCCGAAGATGTTCGAGCGAGATGCGTTGAACCAGAACTGAAGCCCCAGTCCTGAAAACCTTAGCCTACGACCCGAGAATCAGGTTCAACATGGCCCTGAAGAAGAAGGCAACACAAGAGGCACACTTCCAGTGCCACTGTGCCAGAGTGCGCGCGTGGGTGGATGGAACCGTTGCTACTCGGGTGTTGTGGACTTACTTATCAGATCACTGGAAAAAATGGCGGCTTCGAGCTCAACACTGTCTGTCAGGTTGCTACAGTACTGCAGGACCCAAGGTCTTGAGCTTTGAGTCCTACAAGTCACTCGCCTTGGAAGGCCATGAAATTGGACGATGGATCTCTGATGGAGAGCCTCAGTGGAATCACACGTTGTAACCATTTGCTGCTGCGGTTTTGAGTCCTGTAAGAGGGGAAAGGCTTGATGTTCATGGCTGTTTTAAGTTCGGCTATGTCAATGTGATAGTTTGGCTTATTATTGGGCTTCGGAACTTCAGCTTCAGAGTGCATTCTGTTAGTGGCACATTGCTGTTTGGGTCGGCACTGGAATTTCGATTTGAGGTTGCTGCGTCTCGCAACCACGACCGGCACAATTGAGAATCGAAGGCGAAGTTGTGCAACATGCCAGTTCAGGCTTGGGAGGACAGGAAGGAAGCTCGGACGGGCTTGTGTCGGCGTCATCTGTCAATTTCGGGCGTGTATTCCACATCTGGCTTTAGATACACACTCGGATGCAATCGAGGGGTGAATCCACACACGACCTTCCGTTTTTATGGCGTAAGGTTTCTGCATATTGTGGAGCGGTGCGTTCTCAGCGACAGCCCCTTTCCCGAGGATTGCTAAGATATACCCACTGGACGCAATGTTCGACATTCCAGATGACGTTCCAGAAGATATCAAGAGCAACAAGCGCCACTGGGCAGATGGATGTTGTTCTGCACCCTGGTTCCTTCGAAGGTACCTGCGTAGACAATCCGGCATTTCTGGTCACTGCCACCACTCTTGATGCAAATGTTACATCCTATATTGCGAAACCCCCAAAATCCCACAGCCGAAACCAAGTCCACCAGGAGAGGCAGCTGTAGTCCACGCCCAAAGCACTCTATGCTCCGAGAACGGGTGAAGACGACGCGCGAGACGCCGCAAGCGTGTGCACTCTTCAGCCGGGGCAACCAAACGAAGACGAAGACCCCAGATCCTGAACCTGCTTAAACCACCGAAATCAAAAGTCTGTCCGAAAGAATGCACATAATATAGAAATAGAAAGGTCAAATGCCTTCGACTCCCCAGACTCGTCTATAGTCTATAGCTTATAACGGTCCCGCTCGTATATGCAGGGTGTCGGGTGAGCAGCTTTTTTGTCAGGATTTGGAGCCGAAGGTTTGGGATCTGTAGCATGTGGGCTCCTCGCTCTGGCTTGATGAGAATCCCCAAGTCCCACTCTTGAGCCAAAGAAGAAAATGGCCTACATTAAACCGTAAAGCTTAGGCCTTCTCTTTCGGGGTGGTACGACTCAACCCCGAACCGTCAGGCTTCAAACAAGAAACCGCCAACCTCGAACCCCTAA